TTGACACCATTGTAAATGAAAATCTGTTTGTTCTACTTGATGTCACTCAAGCATAATGCTTTCCCTGTGTCAAGCACACTTTGACATTTTGCTATTTAAACATAATGAAAGAGACTAAAGTAACCTTAGCTAGCGCAGTATAGTTGCTAACTTCTAATTAAATGAGTTAGGTATCCCTGCAGCTACTTTAGTTTATGCTCCAGTAGCAAATTCAGTTATATAGTAGCCTTAGTTAATGTTAACTGCATCATACAGTTTTTAACTTGTTTTTATATTACACTTCACAATGCACCAGATTTCTATGACATCTAATGCTGATAGTAGGCCCACAGTTGTAAAGGCCTTGTGCTTGCAAATGTGTCTCATCCACAGTTCAGTTGCAAGTAAGACTTTTGCCCATTTCTACTTCTAGTCCTTTAATCACAGCAGATGTATTAGACTACATTCTTTTTCAAAATCGACCTGACTATAATACTTATCCACACAATCAGTTTGACAACAACTATGACAGATAGGCATGTAAAACAAGGATCGCATTGTGCGATGATGACACATTCTAAAACTGAAAGAGACTCGTGAGATGAAAACACCTCACTGTATATATGTGAAAGGTTTCTATTTGAAATATCAAATCTTTGAAAAAACGTGAGGAAGTAGATAAAAAATTATGAAAAAATATTTTGCACTCTTTGTTGCTGGAAAGTCTGTGACTTTCTCTCTTGGCATATATATATATATATATATATATATATATATATATATATATATATATATATATATATATATATATATATATGTGGACTACTTCCACTCCTGTTTCCGTCTTAACCACATGAACCTGTAGTGCATCGATGCAAAAAAGATCGACTACCACGCCACCCGGTTTTTCTGTAATCTCCAAAAACAAGCAAATGTTTCGGGCTTTACTCTCCTGGGCGCTCCCCTCCTTCTGCACCGCATGGAGCAGGGTTCATTTGAAAGCCACTGTTTGTTAAGGCTTTAGCGGTTAGTAAGTGCTTCCTTTGTTTGGTGGGAGCATAGAGACGGGGGTTAATATCTCCCAGAGAGCACATACAAAGAAGGCCTTCAGCTTCCCTGGCCGGAGAGGGGTGGCTAGATGAATGAGGCATGGTCGTGGGGCAAAGGTGCCAGGGAGGGCACGGGAGGGTGGGGAAGTGCAGGGGGCAGGAGGCAGGCAGAGTCCAGCAGGTCACAGGGGTATTAGAACACTGCAGGGGGTCTGAGATGCTGCAGGCTGCTAGAGAATAAAAGGAGCGAAGTCTCAGTTTGGGCAGTGACTCTTGATTCAGACAAGACACTAGGCTGAAATTACCATCAGAGTCCATTTGGTCTAAAACAACCAGACCAGTCAGCAACTTTGTGATTATGACATTTTGACATTCTTCCTCTTTTTGTCTAGATTATAAAAGCTTTATGTACAGTAGTAAAAGTTTGATGACATTATGCATTAGCTCTATTTAAACTATGTTATTTGTGTGATTGCCCTGTCCAAATGCGAAAGGTGGTAGGGCAGTATCTGTGCAGTTGCATCAAAAATGCCTTTGATACCATTTGACTACACTCGGAACAGTGTGTAAGGGCCACATCCCTCTGAGAAACATAGATGTATATGTAAGAAGAGTTGCTAATGAGGAAACTAGGGATTATCACTATTTAGAGCAGGGGTGTGTAATTAATTTTTCCAAGGGGCCACATGAGAAAATGGGGATGTTGTGGAGGGCCTCATCAATAAGCTTATGAAGTGATTCAATTAAAATTGCACAGAACTGAGTTTCTGGTGCAGCCCCCCACAACAGCCCACCCCTGCTTTAGAGGAAGACAGATAAACTAAAAATGTAAATAAATGCAGTTAAGCCATCATGTGACAACTTATTGAATTAGGAGTTATAATACTGTAATTAATATGTAAGCTTAAAACTTGTCAAGCTCTTGGTTTACATGTTCTTGCAATGTTTCCTCTGCTGCCCAGCGCCCCCGCCCATCTTCCCAGAGCTAATCTAGAATCTGTATCCATATGTGTATTTTGGTGCTCCGTTCAACACGAGTGCAGTTTCCCAATAGAGTCTGATTGTGAAGGCTCAGTGTTGCATGATGGAGAACAATGGGATTTCTGTAGTAGTTTTGGATCAGATTCTATTTCATGGGAATTGGTGTGTACTTTGGATTGCTACATGTGTTGGCGTGGGTCATGATACAGATACAAATGGTGGGGGGGACTTGGCTGTAGGGGATGAGAAGTATTTTGAACTAGGATTTGGCAGAAATAAACTTTTCCAGGTATTGATGTACGAGGAAACACAACTCTAATTATTTCTGTTGTTTGTTCAACAAGAACAGGAAGTCTATCAAATGTGCGTGTTAATAATTACATATAATGTATTCCAGAGTTCCTCAGAACAATCTTTCTTTTTTAGTTTCACTTCCTTGTTAGACGTGTTGCTAGGCTGCATATCTTGTGTTGGTTTGAAATTATGCTCACAGTGTGTCAGTGAGGGCTGCTTGTGAGGATCTTTTTTGATGTCTCCTTCTCCTCTTCTCCGTCACAAACTCATTGAGAAGAGAGAGAGGGAGATCTGTCTCACTGAGCTCAGTATTCCCACGGAACTCCGACTGGATTCATGCTGCGTCTCAGCCAAACCAATGGTCCCTTTGTGCCTGTCCATCCTAGATTCTCTCTCCTCTACACACTGCCCTCTCTGTACCCTATAGTCCATGACCAACTATTGCCTCTCTTCCTGCTTCACACCCATAACCACTTCAGCAAATCTCAACAAGTTCACTACCCACCTTTGTCTGCAGGCTGGTTAATCTCAAGCTATGATTTTGAAGTATAGAGGTGTGCTTATTATACAATCAATATTATACTAACTAAAATACAGCTGCAAACACACACTCACTGGCCACTTCATTAAATACACCTTGCTAATACCAGGATGGACCACCTTTTCCCCCATAATGGACTTAATTCTTAACTCTGATCCTATTAACGTTTTTACCTGTTTACCTGGGTCCCCCAAGAATAATTCAGAAGTAGTCATAAGAGCCGAATAATAACAATAGCAAAACACATTTCTTCTCAAAGTCTTATTAGTTATGTAATTGGTGTCATTTAAAGAAAGAAATTATTGTTGTTACAAGTAATTTGCATAATTTATTAAATAAAACAAAGTTTTCTTTCATATAACTTGCAACTTTTCAAACATGTGCTCCACATTATCACTGTTTAGCATACTTTATTCTGTTATCACTTTGTTTTTCAGTCAGTTCAAGTTAATATTATTTGTGCTGTATATATATATGATGAAGTTGCTAAGAGTCATTTTGATCACTCAATTTGATCCCATGATAAAGTAAGTGAAATAAACAACCTAGAGCTCTAAGGCAGACCAAATGATCGAGCATCTCAAAGGCAGAGCTCAGGCGCACTTTAGAGGAAGCTCATTTCTGCCGCTTGTATCTGTGATCTCACTCTTGTCTGTGACCTGGAGTGGGCACTCTACCCGGTGGATTGCCCACCCTGTTCTGGCTGAGAACTATAGCCTCAGATTAGGAGTTGCTGATTTCCATCACATTCATTTCACACACAGCTGCAAACCAGTGTAAAATGGGGGGGGCTCAATTAAGCCATGGGACCAAATCTCTCCAAACAGCAGAGATGGGATCCTGAGACCATAGACACCACACTCGAAACTTTGGCTGTCCTTATTAATTCTGTTCATAGATAATAACAAATTGATGAAAAGCACAAAACTATCTCTCCGATCAGACTTCTTGCTGGCAGTGCAAACCAAGCTCTCACTAAAGCTGTACAGGGACCAGCAACAACTAAAACAAGTAAAGCAAGTCAGGTTTTTACAAGAAACAGAAGTAATTATACTGTAAGAAATGTAGAGTGTACGTAATTTTAAGTGCTGCATTAAACTTTCCTTGTAATTTAGCAGAAAAACAAACAGTATTTCCACATCTTACATTATGGAACCATGCCATAACTTCCAGGGATTGTACAGTAAAGGAGACACAAACTGAGGTTGAGAGTCAACAACGTGCATTCCTCAGAGACCTTGGTCGGTACTGACATGACAGCATCACAGATTTTATGGAGAAACAATTTTGAGCTTTGCGACCTGCTGTGTTATTCTGCTGGACACAGAGTTATCAGTACATTGTGGTTATAGAGGAACAGTACTCAGAAAGTCTTTGGTATTTTTAAGATTCTCCTTCTTACTTTGAAGTCTCTCCATATACATCTGATCTTCTGCACATCGCCACTCCCAGTGTACTCTGAGATTCTAGGGGTTGAGGGGTTGAGGTCATTTTTACCTAAAACTCAGCCCTTTCTAAAATGTCATACCTCAAAAATAGATACACTTATTGTGAAGAAAATAAAAGTATCCCATAACCATATAACACATGATGAGTCTGGATATGGAATGTTATGACAACTTCACTCATTGGCAAAGGCGAGGCAGTATTTCTGTTAATGAATTTCTTTTAATTAAAATAGCAGTCTGTAAATGGTCTTTTTGCATCATCAACATCCCCATTAACATAATCACTTTGCCATTTATGGAGTCAGTTGTCAACAAGTGTTCAACTTAAAGAGTGATTTCCACCAGGTGTGGTTACTTGTGTGTTCAGCACATCATGCTGTCTGACAGTATACAATCTAGGACAGCTAATGAGGTCTTAGCTGTAATTTTAAGGCTACCTGAAAAGTAACAAAAGTTGCAAACGGTCATTTAGCATGTTTCATAAGAAGATTTTCCTATTTTTATGTAGTTGCATTGGCTAAATATTCATTCATATTTAGGATCATTGTCCTGCTGAATGAGGAAATGTTTTCAGGGCATTTTTGTGAATTTGTGTACATAGAATATTCTTCAATTGCACTCATGCTATTTAAAAAGGTATGCATCTGACCAACCATCAAACAAGCTTTCAGCCACAATGTGAAGACGATTGAAACCTGACATTACATTTCCTTATTTCCACATAGGAATACACCCCAAAAAAGCAATCAGGATTGGAAATTGATCACAGAAACCTTAACTGGAATGCCTCCAAAAGCTATTATTTCATCTAAGAAAGGTAAACATGTTGACTTATGTTTTAGTCCTCAGCCAGCTAGTTTTTTTCCTCTCTTTCTTGCTATTTCCTGTTACTGCTAGACATTTTTTCCCATCCCATTTTTTTTTCCGGGTCACTACAGCGGCATTTTCCCCCCAATGAGCTCATCCAGTCTTCACAGCTTTATGTGTGGTGTTGAGTTCTGATTCAAAGCAGGTCTGTGAAAGAATAATATTGCTCTGTTTAATCCCCTTCTCCACCTCTGCACATTCTCCATCCTACAGAACCATAGGAGTGTGCCAACAATAGCACCCCTCCCTTCTTCCTTCACTCCCCGCCACCTACTCTGCTCTCTCCCAGATAAAGTCAGCGGAATGGGTGGCAGGTGTTTGGGTAAAACACCATGTCCACGGGATAGGAAGTATGGGCATGACTTGGCTCAAAAGAATTCAAGTATTGTGGACCAAATGGGAATGTGTATGCAGACAGATACATTGCTGTCATCTGCAAATTACTTACTGTTAAGTTTCAATTCTAGAAACACCATATTAAAATATATCACAAGTGTGAATATTCCATTAGAAAAAAAACGTGTTGAAAGGTATCACTGGGCTTTGACTGTTTTGCTTAGCTAAATTAATTTCCTCCAGGTGCGCTAGTGGAGCTCGGCAAGAGAAGCATGGAGTTCTTTGTTTTCAAAATCTGTTCAACTGCACTTTTACAGCAATAGCAGCACCGCTCCAGGTTCACTTAAGTTTGGCAAAGCCCTAAAAGATCGACTGTGACAAGAGAACAGACCATTTGTCACCTGTTGCTGCTCTGAGTCACGATCCAGTCTGCATCAGTGCTGAGCCCATTACACATGCCGTCTAACAACAGTTACGTGTTGTTTACTTTTGCTTTTAATAGAATGGCATTGAGAATAAGTGACATCTGTGCAACCTCGGTTTCAGATAAAACAATCGCATAAAGATGCTCTTTGGATTAAAAGGCTTTTACAGTTTCCCTTCATTCACATTGTTCGAATGTCCTGGCACTGTGAAACGGAACAGTTTGCGCTTCACTGTCATAGGGAAAACCCAGCATAGCTCGAGAATGAAGTGAACTGTTTTGAAAAAAACAGACTCACACGCTCTTTTCCCCTTTAGTTTGATGAATATTCTTTCTCAGGATCATTTTTCATCTGATACAAAGACTTAGGTTTGTCAGAGACTCCAAGGTCTGTGATGTCATTGTTTTTGTGGTCAAGAAAAGAAAGGGGAAATGAGGAGAGTGAGTTCACCATGACCTGTGCTTGTCCTGGAGCCTAATACTTTGGTTGGGGGTTTGGGGCTGGGAGACAGGGAGAGGGGTCAGCCCTGGCAGCATCATGCTCTACTCAGCTCTTGGCTCTTTCATCACAGATTAGTCATGATCCATGTTACCTAAAAGAAGAACTCTTGATGCCTTTCGGTTTTTTCTCCTTACTTCACTTCCAAGTCTGTGCTTTCCCACTTGCAGAGCTTGATCTCTTGATCCAAGTTTGCCATTTCAACTACTTTACTACTTTACCCTCCGTCAGATTTGAAGGTGTTGTGAGAATATGGAGATTGACCACAGCTGGAGGAGTAGGCTAAGGTTTTGGGAGATAACAAGAGTATGTGGACATTAGCTGGATTTACAGAGTTGAAATTTAAGGAGGGCATGGCCTTTTGTCCAGTGATTATATTCATCGTGTTTGTACAACTGTCAGGAATGTTTATGAGGATTCCACTAATCTGCTAAATCTCTGTTAGTATTGTACTCTTACTGATGCACACCCAGGCACAAACACTCACAGAGTCACACACCTTTTACTCATACCTGCTACCATCAACAACATAACAGCCGTTACCTTTTGTTTTACCCCCCATCCCTCCTGTCTTTCCCTTCTCACCCTATTGCTTTCCTTTGCTTTCCTCTGCTCTCTGCCTTTCCGTGACTTGCTGTCATTAATCTTCCCTCACTAGGGGCAGAAACTTGACTGTGTGCCAGGAAGCGTTCATACAAAGCCAAGACAGCGATCCAAAAACAGAGCCGCTTTTCTTGTTTCCAGAGCACCACGAAGCTCACACTCATGCTGCCGCGGCCCTCGGGGCAGCACTTCTCCACACAGCAGCTGTAAGTGCCCTTAAACATTCACACCGAGCTTAACAATATTTCTGTATACACATGCAGGTTGCCACGTATGAGGTGCATACCTTTTTGTCACAGTCACTCATGATTCTTTTAATCCATGTCCATTGTGATGAGTATGATTTTGGTTCTATGCATTTCTCAGTCAAATATTTCAGCAGACTTTGTCCACTGATGCACTTCGATCTATGTCCTTTTTTTTGCTTCACTCATCTGTACTTGTAATCATAATTTACCTTCAGCCACCAGGAAGGGAAAATAATTATAGCTACTCCAAGAACATGAGTCAACTTCTGTTGACATTTCAGTGTGATGTTATCAAACTCTGCACACCTATATAACATAATAACAGGTTTACAGGAATGAACACTCAATGCAAAAATGCAATAACTTCTCAGCATAGTCCTACAATAATAATTAAGCTTTATTCAACATCTCGTGTTTAATGCTTGATCCCTGCATATTCGGTTGTTTGCATTTATATTTAAGATTAAAATGAGTATGCCTTATTTTTGTTCTGTATTTTTCAGCCAGTGATGACCAGTCTGGGAGGTGAGCCAGAGTTCACCTGGCTGACTGGGGTTTAGTAGGTAAACCAATCCTTGACATCATCCTCAGTGTGTTGGCAGCAGACTCTGGACTTTGTGTCACAGGTGGTAATTGTGCATTGCAATGCTTGGGAGAAGAATGAGTTGTAATTTCAATGTTTGCCCCTAATAAAAATGCAGATCCTTCACCATCATAAAGAGCTACTGTGAGGTTTATAGTCCATTGTAAGCACTATAAATGCCAGCCAGTAGAAAGAGGTGAGACACCTAATGTTTGTTCTGCGTGTGTGTGTCTAATATATATTGTATATCAGTGGCTTACTCTCGCTTATGTATACATCATCCCTTTCTTTATTAATTTATTACAACCCAAACCTCTAAACCTACACCCACTGATTCCTAAATTATTGTGAGTGATGATACAGTGATCTCCACATTTAAGAAAAGGGGCCACCAGCAGTGGATGTGTTGCAGTATCTCATCTTTCAAAAGTAGTGCCCCATTCAGCCCCTATAAACCACACACACACCAAAACACACGCATACTTTACTTCTTAGAATATATCATCCAACCTTTACAACCCACCACCACATACTACTTAACTTGCCCACTTCTCTTTACCCTTAGATCTGTTTTCCCCTCAAACCCACATTATCTCGCAATATGGTTGCGCAGTTAAGTGCTGAGGGTGTATTTCAGACTGTGGGAAATATATACAATGCTGCCACAGATAGGGTTTAGTTGTGCTTTGGCCCTGGTGTTATGTTTCTCTTAAAGTGTCTTTTTCTCTAACACTTTGATAGCTATCTGAAAGACAGGATTTTATAAGTTTAGAGTTCATAAAAACAAAGACACATTCATTTTATATGCAGATGCACAACATCGCTAAGGTTGATGTAGACAGGGTCTGTTATCTTATGAGTCAGAAGTGTCGCTTTGTTCTTTTGTTGTATTTAAATTTGACGTGCATCGGTGGATTAATTCATTCTTTTTAAACTCTCTCCGGACTTTGAATGTGCTAAAAAACACTTATTTCAAGAACGACTACAGCATAAAATCTATTTCAAGCACGTTGAAAGCTGCCGTGGACTCTTTCTCTGTTGGGGTTCTGAATATAGATTTAAGGGGCATACGTGTTAAAGGCACATAATGGTTTAAACAGAAATCAGGGGACACTGTATCTACCCAGGGGGAGGGAGAGTATGCTTTTACTCGTGGACTGTGATGATCCTCATGTGTGCACTGAGTCGTATACAGTAAGCGTGATATATCACACAAATTATTGCTACTTGACTTCTTAAATGCAAAGATAACACAAACCCTATGTAATTATTTCTTGAAAGGTGGGCTTGCAAATGAAAACCTTCAAATTGTTCAAACAGAACTTCCTTCTCTCTGTGTTTCATCTCTTCTGGCTAAAGCCAACAGTCAGTCACTCATATTTCCCTGTATTTGCCTGCAGGGAGAACACATTAACCTGCCTCTGCTGTCACGCTAGCTTACAGTTGTGTGAGTCAGCGTCAGCAAGTGAAATTGGACCTCGGCATACCATTCTCACACATCAAAGGCGCATGCTAAAGTGACTCCATACGCTGAGCCTCCGTGGCATGGTGTACACAGGACTCAAAAGAACCAGTCGGGAAAGAAAACAAAATGTTCTGAGGTCATTCAGTTTGCGGGAACCAAAAGGGGACAAGGGTGACAAAATAAGAGCTAAAGCTAATTATACTGATACAGTAAATCATAGTAAATGTTTACTTTTATTTTGAAGTGGTTGTTAAGATATATTTACGATTCAGAGCAAGAGGCCATGTTCCTTTTAAATCAGTAATGCGAAATATAGTATAAGAAAGTGGTGATTATGTCATAACAAAAATGAAATATGGCTTTCTAATTTTTGGTAGTTGGAAATCAACTCTTTTTTGGGTTTTTTTTTTTCTGAAAATATGCACCAATGATGACAATCACAACACACTTTTTGCTTTTTATTGTTGATTATTTTTTTGTATTCAGAGGTGCTTTGCCAATGTGCTTCTTTTCTTCTGCTGGAGCGTGCCAGAAAGCAGTCATTATCGTCCAACACAACCCTGTTATTAGATGACTGGCTTGTGGGGAAGACTGTTTGCAAACAGCTGCCTGACGTGACCAGAGAGAAAGTGACACAGACAAACAAGACAGCAACAGAACACCCTGAAATTTGCCTTTGTGACAGCTTTCTCTATTAATAAAACATTGGAAAAAGTAGAAGTGCAGCACTCACCAAATTTAACAAAAAAAGAGAGAACTTTGATAGCAGCTTTCATTTGCGTGACTTTCTGTCAAAATTGCATTAGCCTTCTAACTTCTCAAAAAAGCACAGTTTGTATTATTGGCTAATTTTATGGATACATACTGAAATATTTCCCACATGATGCGGGTAATGAAAGGGAACAATGGTTCCTTGAGGTGCCATGTGGTACACATTTACAGAGAAAACTTGTTTCACTGTTTAGTTACCACTTTGTTGGTCTCCCTCCAAGCACACCTTGGGGTGTGAAGAAGGACAATACAGCCCTTTCACAGCTCTGACCCAACCATCACACCTATCCAGGACGGGGACAAAAGCAATTGTTCGCAATGAAAGCAGAGAGAGAGACAGAAATGAACTCAATATGAAACAATGGACTCAGATGGCAAAAAATATTACACAGTTTAAGTTACAGGAAAGGTGGTGGATTGTAAAAATGTGTGGGAAATTGAGAATTTCTGATATTTTCCTTTAGAGTGTTTGTGCCGTATTCAGTGGTCCAGTGACAAGCAGCTGTGGCTGTAAGAAATATCAATTTAGTCCCCTGCACCAATTGCTTCATATCCCCTATCAAACAACCCCTTTGTGTCACTGTTTCGTCCAAGCACAGTGAAACAGTGAGCTGCATTGACGAGATGCAGACAGATTATCTTGTTTGAATGGCTTTTCCAGAGCAGCAGAAAGGCCAGAACAACAATAGGTAACTTGTTGTAGGCACAACAAATCTAATATTCATTTAACATAGCCTTGTTGTACGCTACCCGTGGGGGCTGCTCAAGCTGGTACAGTAACTGTTTGTATTTGCATAATACACTTCACCTCTGCAGGGCTACTAATTGGGCTGGTTGGAGGGAGCCAAAAGCCCCTGATGAAAGAGAGCAGCAGGCACAGTGATCGCAGGAGACAACAATGAAGGGATTGAAATAATTTCTTTTGTGGCTGTATGGGACTGTCTTTTCCTCTCTGACAGTCTGACTTTCCCAAATACAAAAAAGAGCAGACAGGGGTTCACAGGGCACTAAGGTGGTGCAGTGGTTAGCACTGTTGCCTCACAGCATGAAGGTCCCGGGATCAAATTCACCTGTTGCCTGCGGCTGTTCTGTGTGAAGCTTGTGGGTTCTTCCTGGATATGTTTGCCTCCTCCCAAAGCCGTAGCCATGCATGGGGTTGTTTAACTGGTCATTCTAAATTGAGCGTAGGTGTCAGTGTGATTGGTTGTGTGGTCCAGGGTGCACCCCACCTTTTACTGCTATGACAGCAGTAAAATGCTGCGATGCTGAATTGGATCAGGAGAAAAAAAACTGATAGATGGAGGCAGGACTCATGTATTACATTTATTTATCAATTAATCTGAGAGAATCCTGAATCTTTGTTCATATATGATCTAAGCATACTGGAGAACAGCGATGTGTATATGCAGTTGTCTCTCATGTGTGAACTTTGCAAGCACTTTTGGGTTTGTTACTACGCAGCATGTGAGTATGTGTACAGACATGCACGTTTGTGTGGGTTTCGCATTGTGTGTGTGTGTGTGTGTGTGTCCTTGACATGATAAAACGATTCTCCTTTTCTCTTGCATTCATTTTCAGTGATTTCAGCTCTATTTGATGCTGCTAACATTGGCACAGAGGTTTTGGTTTTCCCCTGCTTAGCCATGACGGTCATTAATCATGGATCTTCGTGTATCGGAACCTGACAGGACTTTTCATAGCTTCACAGTTTGTGGTGAAGTGCAGCTCAAAGGAAGTGCGTGACTGAGGTTGGCAGTAGTACTAGAGCTTGAGTCTGCAGACCAGATTTCGACTTGTTTTATTACCTTCCCCAGGAGTTTAAGTGTTGGATCATAATCATTCACGCACACACCAATAAATATTTTGGAAGTTATTCACACATATTTTTGTATGTCAGTAAAAGCTGTACCAAAACTATGTACAACACCTGAAACAGAAAATTGAAGGTTACACAAGTTGAAAGCGGTTAAAACAGTATAATCTCTTTCTGATTTAAATCAGTGAGAAATCCTTTTTTTCCCCCCTTTTCTCATATTTTGGATTGTCAGATCATATCACGATGGTGGTGCTCAGTAGCATTGCCACCTCACAGAAAGCAGGCTCTGGGCTGTGTTTTCATTTTCCCCTCACTGACCGTACACACTTTTTAAGTTAATCTAAACTGTCAGTAGATGTGGTTTTCTGTCTCTCTTTTATCCCTATGATGGGCTGGAAACGTATCCAGGGTGTACCCCCACCAATGCAGATTATTTTCTAGTGTGCCAAAGGTAATTTTGTTGGTATCGATATTACCAGAAGTGACAGCAGAGCTGGCATGTTCTCATCTTATGAGTCTGTGACAAAATGCGGTTCTTGGAGCACCGACTATCGTGGAAACTAGCAGAAAGGCAGTTTTGCGTAACCTGGCTGGCAAGCTTTAGCATATGGTGCCAACTCTAAGGGATGCAGTCATGGGATGTGACATGCATGTAGTTGGCAATGAAATATTAAATATTAAGTGCTTGTATATTACTATCTAACCTTAGATAAATTCTTGAAAGCTGCAGGCAGAACCATCTAAGAGCCTAGACTACTCTCAGGAGGATCTTGGGGTTTTGTGTCTTGCCCAAGTAAACTTCAACACACCAACCCCGTGTTTATCGGTCTCCGGTATCTGAGACTTTGTTGTGGCCAGTGTGATTCCAGGAGGAATTCTAGTTTTGATTCTGGCAACATTAACTTGAATTAAAAAAGCAAATTTACTGAAATAAGTCTTGTTGGTTTTGTCCATAACTTTGAATTGAATTGAATCTTAATTTTGAACATGTTAAAAAAGAAATACAAGCACATAGAAATAAAAAAGAGACAAACTTCATGTAATGTAACACAATATTGCAGGACAAACTGGTTAAAAAAAACAAATACAACAAACAGGAAGGAACAACACAGACAAAGGAGACGAACGTTCAGTAACAAAAAACGTGTGTGTAAAGTGTTTGTGAAACTGAATGTTCAGAGTCAATCAGATATTCAACCAGTTTCTCGAGCAACAGAAGGAAACTTCATGTCCTCTATAGGAAACAGGTGCTGAGTCAGTGAGGAGAGGAATTTCAGAAGAATGGGGAGGGAAAGGTAGCGTGTCAGAGGGTGCATGAGCGAGAGACTGAGAATGAGAGGTGTGTGGTAAGTGTGTGTAAAAGAGAGTGTGAGTAAGCCTTGGAGCTGAGGAAAGAACAAGGGGAGGAGACTCTCCGGGGATTGCGTGCGGACATCAAATGTTTACCTGTAACAAAGAGAAAGGGGAAGGTGTAGAAGGCAAAAAAGGAGAGGAAAAAAAGGCCGTGGTTTACAGGGGTGGGCGGGGACCCAAAGCCTAAAGCATGAGCTTCGCACGCAACTTAACAATACTACCTTTATGAAGACTGTATTTCATTAGTCAGTGAGCACACACACACTCACATGAGATAGCGTTGGTGTTATACATGCCCACAAGCACACACCGACACAAGTCGAGGAATTTAACAGGAATAGATAAGTGGTGGCATTTACACTGCAGCTCTCCTTGTCACACAATGGAAAAGGTTAAGGAAGATCAAAGGCACTTAGATTATTTTAAGGCAAACATGGGCTTTTTTTAACAACAAATGGGACAAAATAACTGATGCCATCTGTGGAACAGCTGGAGTTTCTGTTTGGCAGAGATATTTACTTGCGACTGTCCAAGCTCAACTCAGAACTTCTCAAAGCAGATGTTTAGCATTCCCACACATTCCAGACCCTCCCCATAGTTACCGTGTTCATTTCTTTCCCTCTATAATTGCCCAACAAATCACAACAAAATGAGAGACAGCTTTCTCTCAATCTGCAATCTACAGTATGTGCATGACTCTCCGTGTCAAAATTGCCTTATCTGCAACGAGAATAAAAAGGCTGGAAAAACATGGGTTGGCGTAGAACTGATAATAGATTACTATCAACAGTCACGTCATGTATTTACATTGTGTGCTCTCAATTATAGACCCTTAAAGTGACACCTCTGAATAATCTCTCTACGAATAATATTCACACCTATTAAGACATGTTTTTTTTTCTTTTTTTTTTACCATTTATATTATTATGACAGTGTGTTGTATATTCCCCTTCATAATACTGCACATACAAAATATCCTCAACACAATTAGAACTTTTACAAAATCCAACATTTCAACTTTTTGGATATAAAAAAATCTGTCAGTCACTGCTCTGATTGGCAACTTGCGTGTAAAAGGCAGAGTTGTTGGGATTTAGCTCAGGGCGCCTGCGGTCAGCGCAATATGTGTACTGTAAATAATTTGGCTGTGTATCTCGTGTGATTGTGTGAGCAGGGAGGGAGAGACGGGCAAGCGAGCTACGCACACACTGGGATCAGGGCTTCCTCTCCTGCGAGTATCAGCAGTCAGAGCGCAAGGTACAATAGGGAGCATTGTTCACCTGGCAGGCCCCTGCTTGCCGACTCCCCCTCCATACCTGAGCACAGAGACAGGTGTATTTCTCCTAGTCACGCATAGCCCTGCCACACTCCCAGCTGCCTACACACTGCTTGCCACCAAAATCTACCCCCCTGACCCCTCCCCACACACACAGACATTTAGAAAAGCATCCAGAGGAAAAATTTTAAAAAAGGCTTCATATGCTTATTCTCCAACTAGAGGTGTTAACTTACTCATAGTATTTCCCCTATTTGAACAATTTTAGCCTCACCTTCATTTTTTCCTGTTTAAAATTTTAAACTTCATGAGGGCTCTTTGTAGAGTCACCAAGCCAGAACTCATGCTCCTTGAAATGCATGCACAGGTATGCAGCTGCATGCTCCTTGGTGCTTAGTGTGTTCATAATTAGAGCTATAAATTTAGGTTTTTATAGACTAAGGTTTGCTCTTTGACATAGAAACCCAATAAACCAAGACACCTGCAATGGTCAAACTATGCTACACGCCAGCAAGGGTGTGTTTCTCCGAATAAATTCCGCCTGTGTCCAGTGAAAGACTGAATGAGTCATATAGGCTACATGTCAGTGGTTCTGTAAGCCTAGTCCAGGCCAAAAGTTCATTTAATTTCTCCTCAAGTGAGAAAACTTGGTTGGGTAAACACTGGAACTCCAGTTACAGTTTGACATCTTAATGCAAGATGAGATGGGAAAGGCTTGAGCGAACTGATTTACCAAAATCTTTACGGTTAGCATCAATCAAATGAGGGGGTTTGAGGGGGATTGTGCCATTGATTACATGGTTTTCTTTGAAAGGCTCTCTCTTCCATAGATCTGACTCCCTAAGGTGCTGGAAGGAATCCAGCTCTATCAGTCTCATAGCACAAGAGGATTAGCTCTTTATCCTGGGTGATTCTATAGAAAAGAGGTACACGCCACATTGTGTCTCATTATGTAAAACTGGTGAAAGCCATTTTTAGTTTCACATGAGAAATTTTCACCCACTTCAGTGAGAAACCTTGCCTTGACCTCTGTTTTGCTACACTTTGCCCATTCCCACAGGCGTGCCAAAAAAAAAAAAAAAACAGACGGAAATCTGCATGTTGGCTGTATGTGAAATTACATGAGCTGCCAACATGGAATCTAACCTCATGTTTCCTGGCTGATGTTTACCCAATTAATTCCCAGGCGGATGTAGAAGTAATAACACTCATGAGAAGTGGGAAAGTGAAAAAATAAAGAACGGAAACCTAAGCAGACTAGCAATTTTGTGGTTACCAGAGAAACAGCATATAGTTATTGGGAAATATGTGTCATTGTGTCATCCACCCTGTTATTTCTGTAAGGTCATTACCATCCTTCCCCCTGTCCCCACCTGTGATTCAGCTTATATCCCTCTATAAGAGCAGAGGTATGGCCTTCAGTAATGTCTCTCTTTCAGTCTCATAGGCTCTTCTGCTGAAGCTTAGGTACTCAGGGTCACATAAGGAAACATTTGTTCCCAGTCTGGTTGAATAGAGCCTTGTGTTGGAAGTAGTCAAAGAGATACAAGGGGATAGGACATCCAAACAGTCCAACACAAGGGCTCTGCTCTGAAGCCCCTCTCTGTCTGAGCTGGGCCAGTAATGAATGTGCTCTAGTCTTAATCACTCTCAGAGCACACACTGGAGATATGACTGACTCAATTGTCCTCGTCTCTATGTTTTCTACGTTGAAAGCAGAAGGTCATGAGGGTCATCGCTTTCAGTAAATATTAGATTTGTTTCACCCACTCCAGGTGATGGCGGTCTCGCTTGGCTCCTTTGCCAGTAGATTTCCACATATCATAAGTTTTACACTTGCACGACTGTCTGTGGGTGTACAGTCAGTCTCGTTTCCTCTGGATTTTTTTTAATGCATTCCTCCTTTTTCCTCCCATCTGTGTGAGAAGCATTCAGCATGGGTTTGTGCTCCCTGGATATGATTATCCTTGTCACACCAATCTGGAAAAGATTTGTGTGCACATTAGCACATACCTACAGACGCATGCTGGCGTGAGTGGAGACACGGTGTAGGAGGATGCACACAAGTGAGCATAAACACATTTGCAGGCTGTTGCACAAACAACCTGGAAATCCCACCCGCGCATGCTTTAAGGGGCACACTGAGAAGCAATGCATTTTCATTTGATTTAATACTGCTGTTCAGCTGGCTGCTGGCTTAACATGAAAGCTGGCACACTGTGTTTACATTCATCACTTTGTTTTGGATAAGGGATAAACACCTCTTAATTACCCCATGGCAGATAATTGCCTCAACTAATACTTTAATTCAGTCTTGATTAATGATTAATGAGCTACGAGAAAGATTGTGGAAGAAGCGAGGTCGACACAGTGAACCAGATTAAAAAAGTGCAACCCTCCTTTTCTTTCTTTTTTCCTTTCTTCCTTTTTTTAAAGGAAAGAAAAAAAAAACCTTCACACTGCAGCGGTGGCTTAGGAATGTGAGACAGGAATGCTGTTGAGTTACTATAAAGGGGGTTTGATCACTGAAAACAATGTCTTTGTGTTTTCGTCCCCAGCGCTAGTCACGCAATGCTGTGTGCGCAAACCTCCAGCAACTTTTCAACCCCTGCACACAAGAAAGCCATCAAGTACCTGCAATTGACAGAATCGCGTGCAATTCAGGTACTCCTGGACTGGACTGGATCGCAGCCAAAAGAACAAAGTAAAAAGTGGAATGGAACCGTGCCAGGCCCTGTGTGAATAGGAGTAATGTATGAGGAACGAAAGTATAATAAAGACTGATATAACTTCTACGTGAATATACTTTTTTATTTATTCATGGTTTTTCCCCTTTGGTTTAGGTCAGAGTTTATCAGCTTTACTCCCTTAATCCCAGCTTTGTTGTCACTTGTATCCTCTCTGCTGTGTTTTAGTCATAAACGCTTCATCCGAGTACTTCTTAAATATGATGAAGTAAAAAAACACAACAAAATCACAAATAACAGCAAACATGCATGCAAGCTTTGACTCCACAGTCCACAGTAGAACAGAGAAGAAATGTCCAGCTTTACTTAGCTTCAGCTTATTATAACTAAGTGGGCTCTGTTCTGATTTTGATCTGTGCTCCATTCCCGTGAATCCAGGCCTTGTTTTGAAGTTTGAGAGCGTGATCCCGGCAATACAAGCAAGCCTGGAGGTGGTTAGGACATGAAAGTGAGGTAAGAAAGACAAGAGATTCATTCATGGGAAGGTGATTCAAGGCACCGACATCTCTGTATCTCTGCACAGCTACAGATGATCATTATTACTCACACACACTGCTCACACGCAACCTGGAATGAAACTGACAGGTGATGAACGATTGCAACAGAGATTGTAACAGCTGATATCCATGACAGCTTTACTGATATTTATAGAATAATAATACTAATACTACTACTGCTAATAATAATAATAATGATAATATGATCTAATTTCTAATGCCTGTAACTGTTTTAAAAGTTATTTTAAAACTTTTAAAAGTTATTTCACCTTTACTTTACTTTCATTATTTTAAGGTTAACCTGTGAAATCATTTCATTGCGTTCCGTGTTTTCTTTCTTTCTTTTTTTTGTCTTTAAAAACTGCTTTTAAGGTTTAAACCTGCTGCTGTTTTCCTATTCCAGTTAACTCCACTTACCGTCATGCATTGCGCATCTACGTTTGGTGAAAGCAGCATGTGCTGAGGCGCTCCGCACAAACTATGGCTCAGTGAAGCTGCGGCTCTTGACGAGAGCGCGTCGTGTCAGCAGAGACTCTGGCTGCAGCTGCCGCAGATACCATCATTGCGCTGGACCCTAAGGAGGAATCAGCATCTTCGAAAATAATCGTTCTGATTGCTTTGCTGGATTTGCCTGGGCGTAAATCGTTTAATGCTGGGGCTCTTTGGACGAATTAACGGGATTAATCGCGACATTGACAAACGTGGAGAAGTTATTATTGTTTTGTGTTTTTGTTTAAACGTGATCACGATGATAGCAGCTGATGGATTGAAAACTCCAGCTATGGATCTTTTCGCGTGTTATAAGGAAATGCTGACTTCAGTCTGGGATGAGTTTCTACTCCTGCCACAGATTCAGCTGCTGGACAAGTCTCTTGGGATATTTGGGATACACGCGTGGTCAAGTGCTGACATTTTCATAGATGGTTAATGTTATATGCTGATTTCGGAAATGAAATCTGTATTTGGTGGATTTCTTTTTTTTTTTTTTTTTTTGCACAGTTGGATATCTTGGATTATGTTTTGGAAGCTGTGCTCCAGTGGATGTCCAGTGATTTGGATAATATGTGCGCATCTCCTGATTCCGCAGGTATGTGGACAACGTCAGTATAAAAACCCCAAAGTATGCTTGACCTATGGAGGTTTGTATTTATGTTATACATTCGCGACGTGACAATGCATTCAGCACTGTCTGCTTTGGCCAAAGGTTCTGTTCTTATCTTCTCAACACACCCACATGGGTGCCCATATCTTCTCTACCAAATTATAATTTATACTGAAATTCTTTTGGAAGTGGACTCATTAGGAACATACTTATACATACAAACACAGAAGGTGTGTTTCTGCTCATTGTCAGTTGGGAGCTGTGTATTTTGACAATGGAAGCCTCGCCAAACTCTCATTAAGTTCACCTGTTCAGTAGGTGAGAACTCTTCTTTATTATTCTCTAACATCATTACATATGCATCTGTAAATGTTAAAGAAGAGGGGAAATGGCTCAATTTAATATTTCACATGCATGTGTTGAGCACAGCCATTGGCTATGCACCTGCACTGCCGGGTGTTCACAGCCTAGAGAGCAATGACCTGTTATAAGTTGTTAAAGACCAGGTGCAGCTGAAATAAATCCACAGTGTGGATACAGTGTTCATAAAAAGGAGCAGGCCCTCCCACCGCTCATACAGTAACTCCATTCAAGGTGAGAGGAAAGTGCTTTGAGCACTATAACGTTGACCTCAGTGGTAGTGGAACACCTGTCAATCATATATATATATATATATATATATATATATATATATATATATATATATATATATATATATATATATATATATATATATATATATATATATATATATATATATAAATAAACACCCAGCACGCCCCTGCGGGCGGTTTATCCTTCAAGCTCGGGTCCTCTACCAGAGGCCTGGGAGCTTGAGGGTCCTGCGCAGTATCTTAGCTGTTCCCAGGACTGCGCTCTTCTGGACAGAGATCTCCGATGTTATTCCCGGGATCTGCTGGAGCCACTCGCCTAGCTTGGGAGTCACCGCACCTAGTGCTCCGATTACCACGGGGACCACCGTTACTTCACCCTAATATATATATATATATATATATAATTGTATATTATATATATATATATATTATATATATTAGTAATGTTATTTATATGTTATATGTATATATATATATTAGAATGTAATTGGATTGTTGAACCCACAGTTCCATGTGATCACCCAACTGATAAACATGCTCAAAATAGCGTGAGATAACCTGCTTTGCAAGTTGGCATGTCCATCTTTTACAAGCCTTGTGTGACTTAACGGCATTGCATTCATAATGGGTGCTGTGTGTGTGTGTGTGTGTCTGTGTCTTCCTTCATTTGCTGAAGCCTCCACTTTCACCTGTCTTCATCTTTCAGTACCCAGTCCTCTCAATCCCACGCACTTCTGTAGCAATGAAGAATTTCTTCTGTTGTGGTTGTGGGAGGGCACAGAGCTCCACTATATGTCCGTATACAGCTTAGAGCACAGACTGAGCACCCTCTGTCCACAACCCCCACCCACACACACACACACACACACACACACACACACACACACACACACACACACACACACACACACACACACACACACACCACCTCTATTAAAAATCTTCTCCAAACAAGACCCCCTTTCTCCACTGAAGAGCGACCCTCTGTCTAATGCCAAGTGACTCTCATGGCCAGCATTGACGGTGGGACACTTGCTTCACAAAAGGAGCTGAAGTGTCAAATAAACTCGGTCAGAGCCCCCGACACACAAGAATTCCTTTATCTGGCACCCTGGGAGGCAGACAAAGACAGACTTTGTGTCAGTGAGCAGGCCTTGACTAAACACTGGGGCTTTTTTCCCCCTTACTCCTCTTCTCACAACTTCTGCCTCTTCTTCCTCCTCCTCCTTTTGTTATTTAAACGGCAAAGCGGGAGCAATATCTGACCCCGGTTGTCCAGCATCTGTCCTGCGCATGGCCAGCATCACCCCTTTTCCTGTTTAAGCCCATCAAAAAAATAAAGATGCTTAAATGGAAGCCCACGAGTGATCGGATAGACATCAAAGCAGCCATGACGCTTCAGCAAGTGTATTTCTTTTTCTGATTCTTTTGTTTATGTTTGTCATAGCTAAAAATAGCAGGAATTTGCTTTCTCTCAGTTTTCTGTGCTGTCATATGATATGTTTGTGGTGAACCACAGCAAAGAACCATATACACACACCGGGGCAAGACTTAACAACCCTGTATTTACTCCAATCAACGTTTCAGGAGGACCTTGTCATCACTGGCAATTGAGTTTCAGCTTCAAGTTGATTTGTGTTGTCGGGAATATAATACGCTAATCTAGTTGTTTCTATTTAGTAAGATGCAGCTGATGTTTATTAGACGATTAACACCAGTTTACACTCCCTGAATATAAATGTCACCTAAGCAAATCAGGGAGCGCGTGCACTGTTTCTACACTGCGGTCTGAAGCACATTACATATCTAATTACTAGTGATGGGAAAGGATCTCATGTAGCTCCCCATGCTCCTCACAGATCCTCATGTAGCTGTGACAGCCATGTGCATCAGACCCCTAAGAGTGCTATCACAGGCAGATAGTCCCGAGCACCATGCGGTTAAGGTAAACGGATAGAGTTCATGTGGTCGAGCGTGTTAATGGTGTGTTTATGAGCTTAAGCTGAGTGGTGATTTATCATGTCTAAACTCAAGGCCTACCTCAGCTCCCTGGCCCCCGATTGAGCTCACAGGGTGACAACACGCATTGAGCAGCATGACCTCCTGGTGAACTATGACTCAATGTCATGACTGCTTTTGACCACCGAAGAGAAATGGAAGGCAATAGGAACATTTGTTATTCATTATTACACAAACGGCCCTCAGGATTATCTCATCCTGTCCTCAGGTTCAAAGCTTAAGACGCAGGAAGACATCCTTACATCATTAGTGTCAGATAACGACTTAATGAGCTCGAGAAATACCAGCCTTAAAAGAAAATGCTCCTGGTATCTTTTTATATAGAGCACCATTTAAACTTTTGTGTGTGTGTGTGTGTGTGTGTGTGTGTGTGTGTGTGTGTGTGTGTGTGTGTGTGTGTGTTTGAATGGGCCCTAAAGTTTGTCTGAACAGGAGAACTGTCATTTATTAGTAGTGCGGGAACAATGGGGAGCTTGTCTCCGGGGTGGTGGGGGCCGGAGGGGGGGGCAGTGGAGCCAGGGGAGGGTGGCCTGAGATTGGGCAGCAGCCTCTGACCAAGAACAAGCCCCTGTCTGATGGAGAGAACTGCTGACCCTTCCTGAGTAAAATGGCACCTTTGTTTCGAGGTGTATGTGTTTGTGTCTATGTGTTTATGTGTGTGTGTGTGTGTGTGTGTGAAAGGGAGAAGGAGAGAGCTTTTGAAAAGCTGGAGCGCTTTATAAAGTGTTTTTCTTCTCAGGGCTTTTGGCAATTGTGTCTCCATATGTGCTGTCTCGTGTTTAAAATTTTGTGGTAGGAAGGTAGGAAGAGAGCGCAAATTGAACTGACACAGCAGCTAAACGGTCCAACATCATGTCATGTTTTTCTGAACGGTCCTCTCGTCTTGCTCACAGTTTCAAATTCGCAGAATATTCTGAAGTTTAGAAATCACGAAACGTCCTTCAAGAGCAGTCACATCAGAATGTGTACATAGCTTTTGTTAATAACACTGATAACACCCTGATGCTCTGACACCAGATCACCGCCTTAGATTTATTAGCTGTTTTTGGCATCTTTCAACAGTCTGTGTGGTGCTTTCTTCCTGTAATGATCTTTCATAAGGGAGAGAAGTTGTTTGTTTTAAACATTGGGGCAAAGAAAAATTAAAGGGTGCAGAGAGGAGGTGTAAATGCTGGTGGGTAATGGCAGCAGATTGCTGATTTCCTAAAGGGAAACCACAACTTAGAAGGTGGCTCGTGTGTGTATATTTGCCTCAGGGTGGTGTTATCCTGGTGTGGGAGTTACCAGGAAGTGTGAGGCTGAGAGAGGCATCCAGCCTGTGCTTAGGTGAGAATGAAGAAGGCTGTTTTAGAGGAAGTAGCAAACCTGGGTGGAGGGGTTTTCTGGAGCGATGCCTGGGAAGTATGACATGAAACCTGACTTCTTTGGTTAAAAATTCCCAGTGCACTTTGTGTTTACACCTTTTGAAGTTACATAGCTGTCATATAGCCTGTCACTTCCTGTTATGTGATTAAAAAACGGTATGTTTCCTGGAACTGTAATTGTGATCCTACTACCCGGTGGGCTTTTTACCTTTTGTGCATAAGAAAAACTACACTGACCTCTGCAGGAGTATAGAAGATAGAGTGTCAGCCCAAATGTTAAGACCAGAGAGCAAACAGTGAAAATGCTCAGCAGGCCACATTACAGGGGCACCTCTGTCAGCACGGGCAGACAGCTCTCCATTCTCACAGGATGCTCTACGTACCTCAAACTTGTCCCAAAGAGGAACGATGCTAAATAAAGACTCTTACTTTAATAGTAAAACTCAAATACAAGCAGCCCGCTCTGATAGTTTGCAGTGTAACAATGATGACACTAGTTTAAAATGCATTTCTTTTAAAACAGACTTGGAGTGGACTTTCAGGTGCATTCTTAACCGTCCTTGTATGGAAAAAAATCTGATCGAGAGTTAGAAATACTTTAAATTCCTGACATTTCTCCTTCAGTTTTCTTGCTCCTGTTTTGGAAGGAAAATTCCTCCCTTTGTGTTTTGCTCTCATAAATGTCACATTCCACTGAACCTGTGACCACGTTCCTCCTTTACTTTGCTGGGTGTGGGTTGCCATGGCTGTGTTTCAGCGAGTCACACCTACATAAGTAAGACAGAGTGGGTTTCCTTTCTTTTCCAGTTCGGTCTTTCATTCCTCTTTTCTTTTCTTTTGTCTCCAGTCGGGAGGATAAAGGAGACATTTTCAGTGTGAAGAGGAGCGTGAAATTTCCTGTGTGACCTCCCTGGGACACAGCAGAACACCAGGCTCCTCAGACCGCTGTTTATGTGTGTGTTAAGTCATGTGCTCGTGTTGGAGATCCGTGCAATTGTGAAAGCTTTTAGTTCCTTTAAAAGAGATTGAATGTCGTCAACTCGCAGTCGTCTCCACATAAAATGCTTGATTAAGGTTGATTGTTTGATACCTTTGGTTTTCTTGATGCATAGAGGCTCATTGCTGAATTCAAATTTTAGGCCTGATAAGTAGGGGGGCAGATGCTGAGCAGGCCAGTGTGTTGTGCTGTCAAACTATTACTTTGAGCCCTGACAGACAGGGAAGAATTTGCTTGCCAGTGTCACTGAACAGAGTCACAGACTTACAGCACCAAAGTAGTTAAATTGACTGCAAGCTGTCCTCTACTTGGGCTGTCATCAGAAGGCTTCAGTCAAATAAGCAGAGCCATTCATGTTTCCCAGGGGACTGATTTATTTTGTTATCTTACATTGGCTTAAAATGAAATCTGGGCTTCATAGGTGTGATGTTAGTAGTCGTGTAAAATAACACTGAGAGAATTGCTGTGCTGTAGTGCCATCTGTAGTCAAGCGTTCGGACTATCTTGATGCATGCCTTACATTCTGCTGCACTCTTGTGGTTAATGTGTGCAACAACATAATCCTGGTTTTCTGGCCTGCATTTCTTTCTGTGGCCACTTAAAATGTGTGGCGCTAATTTGGAACTTTACTCCTACCTCCGGCAGCCAGCAGAAGTGGAAGGGTTGCATCAGGGATGGCATCCAGTGAAAAATCTATGACACAACGAACATGCAGATCTGTCTGCATCCCTGTGGAAGAAGAAGGTTTATCCCTCGGGAAATTAGTTTTCATTAGGGTTTTTTTAAGCTTTGTGGTGGTTTTCTTAGTGCCTTTTATCCAGCGAATTATGATCACAATATCTTCATTTATTTTGAAGAAAGAAAATCGGGGTTTGAAATCAAAGAGAGATTAAAAATCAATGACAAAATCATCATAATTACTAGTTAAATGTTTTTTAAGGCATTCAAAACATTTCACACGTCTGTGATTTTTTTTTTTAATGACTTTCAGGAGTTATGAAAATCTCAACAATGGCATTGTCACCTTAGCTGATTAAAACTTCCAGTAATTCTGGCTCTCCAAACTACAGCTGGAGAGATCACCCTTTTTTGTTCAGACAACTTTGGCTTACTATGAGTTAGCATGCTAACAAACAACACTTAGAAATTAAACTTAATAAATATTTTCTAGTGGCTAACAACTTGAGAGTCTTTGATGATATCCTCCTACTCTTCTACCCTCTTTGATCACGCTGTGTGCTGAGGGTTCCAGAGTAGTAGGGGAGTACATGTTGAGCTGCTGCCATCAGATATGACACTGGGGTCCAGGTATTACTCATGCTTTGTGGGCCTTATGATTTGGGTGCCCCCTCGGGCACTTTGTGCTGTTTGTACAGCGTGTGATTAATCACCCACCACCACATATATATTTAAATGTGCAGGCTGCACTGAAAAAAGGGAGCATTTACAGATTGTGCGTTCATCTATAACATGTTCTACTTTTCATGCTGTTATCATGGTCTCCCATTGTAATGTACACTGACTACACTGAATCTATCTAATGTTCATCTGTCGTTGTAGTGTAAAAATCCATCTTTGAAATCTGATCTTCTAATTTACAGTGCTTAACAAATTTATATGACAGTCTGTCATAAAAAAAGGAAATCTGTTAAAATCTTGTTTGAAACTAAAAGTTTTATTGTTTTTATTAAGCAAATGAGACAAACTTAAATTTGTTAAGCATTGCAAATTTAATTTTATGTCACAAGCTAAATAAAATGTAAATAGAGCCTAAAAAATTGATAAAACATAATAAAATAGTTAAAAGAAAATTAAAATATATCATTTTGGGGACACATTCGCTTGCTCTCTTGTTTTTCTGTGCCTGGTGACGTCCCCCACACACTTCCTTGACTTCACCACTAGAGGTCACAATTGGATCTTTTCTGTGGGGTTTCTCAAGGTCCCACTTTCTATTTGTGTTTTATTGTATTATTAAGTGTAATTAGATTACATATATCACCTGTCACAGTAAATAAACATGTTTCATATACAGTTATTACACCTCGCTGCCTCCTCTGCCCTCGGTTTAACTGTAAATCACAGCAGAGCTTTCTTTCCTCTACTACAGCACAGTCATTAGTACAATATGTCCTCTACTGCTAGAGGTTGACTTTTTTTTTTTATCACTAAAAGTGTTTTTAATATTTTTATACTTTTATACTTACAAATGCTTTGAATAGCATTCATTCACATACTTCACTTTTCAATTTGTTGCAGTATTTGTAGAATGCAGTGCTGGAAGCTTCTGGTCTTGAATCTCCTGGTTGGCTGGGCCTTTCATTGTGGGTTTACGTGTTCTCCCTGTGGCTGTATGGCTTTCTCTTGGTGCTCTGGTTTCCTCACACAGTCCAGTGACTTGCTGGTGATTTTATATTGGCTTTATGTATAGATGGAAGAGTTTATGGTGGTCATGTCTCTGCTTTATCCCTGGGATTGACTGAAAACTTTTCCAGGGTATAACCTGCAGCTTGCTCTGTGACATCTTAGATGGGCTCGGGTCTGCATCCAGCTGACCTAACCTAAGATGGAGAAGGTTTAGGTTTGCTGTTAAGAAACTGAATGCATGGCTAGATTTGCAGTAGGTTTCCATTGCTGGTCCGGGTACATGCGACCACTAGGTGGCAATGTGGTAACATGAAATGTGGCTCTCTGTCTGGAAAATAAAAGCTAGGAAAGCTACTTTGCATGTTGCAGTGAACCTGTGATCTATGGAGTAATGGATATAGATTGGCGTTATTATCTTCTTATTGCCCCTCATTCTAGCTCATCTCCCTTTGAAGATCAAAGTGGCCGTGTGCCTCTGTGTGTACCGACACCGATAAAATCAGAGTGAAGTTCAATAAAGTTCACTTTGTACATCTGTCTCCCATGACCCTTTTCCAGCCCTGCAAGTTGCTGTCAAATTACAGGAAACTCAAATATGCAGCATTTTTGATTACTGCTATCAAGATAATCTGAACGATTTCAACAAAGTTTTAAATACCTGATAATTTGATAAAGTGCTGAAAAAAACAAAAACAGCCTTCAACGCCCACTCTGTCCTTTAGATTTAACAACTACTGAGCAATCAATTCATTCATGTACTTCAGCTCTGCTATAAACCTCAGACATTAACGAACAGAGAATGAATGAAGCGGAGATAAAACTGGCCTACTTCAGGAACAGGTGGGGCAACTTATGACAAAGTGACAGCACAGTCATTAGTACAATGCAAGTAGAGTTTTCATTCCCACGGGTGTCCCATATGCATGTGTCTGCGCAAATTGTGTGT